AAATGGCTGACGTCTTGAATCCTGCGCCCGCCTTATATTATAGTAAGGCCATGCAGGATTTTTCGTATTAACAGTAGTACTGAAAAACGGAAGAAGAACACAAGCATAAGCTGTTAGGGGATATCCCTACCTTCTTGGGGTCAGCTACAAGGGGGGCTTCAATGAAGATCCCGAAAACCCCAAACCCTAAATCCTAACCTGTAAACCCTAAACCGCAAACCCTAAAACCAAAACCCTAAAACCCAAACCCTCATTCCGTTTTTTGGGCCCCTGAAACAAAAAGGCTCCTCCTGGATCCTTGAGCATCGAATGGCTCGGGGGGTACTGGAAGCTTCCTGCTGAGGACAACCAAGGTGTAACCCTAAGGGTCCAAGTGCCCAATAATCATATACTTACCCAAAACCTGTACTACAATTACTATTACCAAACTCCTAAGTACCCAATTAATTATTGGGTTACATGGACCCTTAGGGTAAGGTCTAGCGTTTAGGGATTAGGGCTAGGGGTTCTGGGGTTGGGGTTTAGGATTTGAGGTTTAGGGTTTGGGATTTAGGATTCATTTTTTAGGGTTTGGGGTTTAGGATTTAGATTTTTGGGTCTGTGTTTTAGGATTGAAATTTTAGGGTTTGGAGTTTAGGATTTAGGGTTTTGGGGTTTTGGGCCGTGGTTTGGGGACGCTTCCTCCTGAGGACACAACCTCCTCAGACCTCTCGGCCAAGGCAAAGGATGCCACAACTGAGATTGTTATTGTTGTTGTTATTATTATTGTTACCATTATTACTTAGCCAATAGAAGAACTTTAAACTTGTTGGTCTTCCTTGTTGGATCTCTATACAAAAAAGTTCAAACTTTTTTTAGCCCTGGTTATTGGGAGAGAGAGTATTATTATGGTTGTTATTGCTACTGTTGTTATTCTTAATGTTGTTGTTATTAGTCTTGTTATTATTCAACTGAGTAGTATTCAATTTAAAAATACTATGGTACCCATTATAGAGTAAGATTATATCCTCCTTTTGGGGTATAGTATCTTATATAAGGAATATTATCTTGCTGGGTTTAACCACCAAAAAACCGCTACTCAACTGTACTGTGTACGGGTTTGGGGTAAGGGGTTTAGGGTTTGAAGTTTAGAGTTTGGGGTTTATGGTTTAGGGTTTAGGGTTTTGGGTATTTGGGGTTTAGTGTTTAGGGTGCAGGGTTTAGGGTTTTAAGGTCTGTAATGCCTTCTTACTAACATGGTTTTGGGTTTGGGGTTTGGGGCTTTAGGGTTTAGGGTGGTATCGAAGGACTATGAGGGAGTCGTGTTGGTAATGCACCCCATCCCCATACATTCTAAAATTAAATGGGCAGTTCCCTAAAGTAGGGTTCCGTTTTGGTACCCCTAAGTTTAATTGCCGTTATAATCTTTCATCGAAAGGGGCCCATAATTTTGATAACAACCCAAATATTCCTTGGCCCCGCCCTGCAATGGGTACCACAAGGGACTTTTGTAGGTGTGATAAGGCCCTATTAACTCCACATTAAGGAGCTATTACAATAGGGGAGATTGAACTAAACGATTCCCACGCCCCAAACCCTAAACCCTAACTTGTTTTTGTTGGATACTAGGGGTGGGGAGTACTAGTAATATCGAGCATGCAACATCAATTGGCAAACAGCAAGTAGCTGGCGACTTCCAGAATTTCTTTCCTTTGGTTGGGAGTCCCCGTAGGAAGGAATATGCGTTTGGGGAGGGGGTGCACAAGAGGGGGGGGGGGTAAACCCTAAACCCTAAACCCTATTTCGAATTTTCGGGCCAACCCTAAAGCCTATATACATGTATACATGTCTCGTATCTATGTATTCACTTTAAAAAAGGGCCCCCCCAACTTGTGATAAAAGAAACTCTTAAACCTTAAGCCCCAAACCCAAAACCCTAAATCCTGAGCCCTAAACCCTAAACCCTAAACGAGCCAACTTACGTAGCCATTTCCTGTTTGAAGAGGCAGTCACTTTGATGCTCTAGGCAGGGTTCAGGGTTTAGGGGTAGAGGGTTTAGAGTTTAGGGTTAGAGGGTTTAGGGCCGGTATAGGGTTAGAGGGTTTAGGGTTTAGGGCAAGAGCGTTTAGGGTTCAAGGGCTTAGGAGGGTTCAGGGTTTAGGGCTTAGGGTTTAGGACTTAGGGTTTAGGGTCAGGGCTCTGGGTTTAGAATCTTCGCCCCTAAGCATCCCTCCCCTTGAGAAAAATCTCGCCCACACAGCATTATTATATTTTGGGCAGAAGATGTTTATTTCATTCGAGGGGTTTGAAGAATACGGCAGTGCAGTACCATGCAATATCAATCCTATAGTGCTTTAGAAATGCTATCATTGATCACGCGCGCGTTTCACGATCTGCTTGCTATATGAGGACTATACAAACAATGACAAACATTCTGGTCCCAGATTGCTTTTAGAACCTTGGTATAGGATTCCTCAAATAGATTTCAACATGATATTGTCAAAAAAGGACCCTCCATTCTAGTTTGCGTGCTGCAGGTCATTAGCAAGGCTCGCCAGGGTACAGCGCCTGTGGATGCACGGCAACTGCAGGAAGTCTACGCTGTTTCTTGCTGGTGTCTAAGGGGAGTAGGTATATATATATATATGTATGTGTACATTGGGTTTAGGGTTTGGGGTTCCGGGAATATTGCATGGATCCACCTGCCACTGAGCACTAATGAGGCTTTGGGCGACTCAGTCCAGCTGGTTTTCACCAACGCCAGTCTGTCTCCGCAGACACTGCTGCGCCGGTATCCCGATATGTCTGAGCTTGGTGCCTTCGTCGCTTCGCGGCTAGCATGCTCCATGCGGCTGCGCGACCCCACCAAGAGCAACATGGTTTTAGGGCTGGCGCAGGCTTCCTTGTCCAAAGGCCAGGGGCCTTGCAAGCCGTTTGTATCTAGGTCCAACTTGAATACAACTGCATTACTTGTCTTTTTTCTGTGCAAGGGAAGTCTAGCCAACATCTTGACAAGTATTTTACTAAAATCTGAAATAGTAACCCAATGAGGAACGAGGTCTGAGGGTGCCTGAACCTCTTGCTAACTAAAAGCTGCCAATAAACATCAGGGTTCCAGGGCAGATCCAACCCTAGACCAGAAAGCCTAAACCTTAAACCATGAACCCAAAACCTTAAACCCTACAGCCTTAACCCGAAATCTTAAACCCTAAATCCTAAACCCCAAACTCAAGGTCTCAAACCCTAAGCCCTAAACCCTAAACCCTAAACGGGGAAGACTCAGAGGTAGAGTCCTACATCCACCGGAACTTCGGGGTTCTGGAGGCGATGATGGGCCGATGGGCCAAGTCCGAGCCTCACTTCGTAAAGGCGATTTCGGTGACTCGGTTTAGGGTTTAGGGTTGAGGGTTTTGTGTTTAGGGTTTAGGGTAGGATTAGGGTTTAGGGTTTAGGGATTAGTGTTTAGGGTAGGATTAGGGTTTAGGGTTTAGGGTAGGATTGGGGTTTAGGGTTTAGGGTTGTTCAGTCGCACGCTTTGTTACCTTCTTGGGTTTCTGGGTTCCTAGTATATTACCAGTAAACCCCCCCAAACAAGTCTGTACTTTTTCCCGGTGGCTGCTCAACAGCCTAGGTGATGCCTACGAACGCAACGGCTCGGTTCCTGCTAGGTCGGTCATTCTGAAAAGGTTTAGGGCTTAAGGTTTAACCCAGACCCATGCTTAATAAACCCTCTCCCCTTCATAGGGATTATAATAGGGATCCTAATATTTAGGCCCTTCAAAGGAGGGGGTTTATTAATCATGGGTCTACATTAGGGTTTAGGGTGAAGCCTTTAGGGCTCAAGTCCGAAGGTTTCAGGTTTGGGGTTCCGGGTCTAGGCTCTGTCTGAAGATCCGCAAAAAGTTTGTACGCTAGCCCCTATACCCTACACCCCAAACCATAAACCTTGAACCCTATACCCTAAACCCCATACCATAAACCCTAAACCCTAAACCCTACACCCTATACCAGAAGCCCTGAGCCTAAACCCCAAACCCTTAGACCCTAAGCCCGCCACTCTAAACCTTAACCCTAAACCCTATACCTTGAAGTCTAGACCCTATACCCTAATCCCTTACCCCTATAACCCCAAACCCTACAGCCCTTAAAACGTAACCCAGTCCCCTGATCAATAAACCCCCTCCCCTGAATAGGGATTAGATAGAGATCCTACTATTAGGGCCCTAAAAAGGAGTGGATTTATTAATCCCTAAACCCTCATCCCTAAACCCTAAACCCATTACCCTAATCCCTAAACCCTAAACCCATTACCCTAAACCCTAAACCCTGAACCCATTACCCTACACCCTAAACCCTAAACCCTGACGCCCCTTCTAGGGATGCAGTGCTTGGAATCCGAGCATTGGAAGAAGGCCATCGTGCAGTTTGAGAGCGCGTTGCAGCTGGATCCCGATTCTGGGCTTCTGTTAAGGTTTAGGGTTTAGGGTTTAGAGTTTGAGTATTTGGGTGTATTTTAGGGGTGTAATTTAGGGGTTATATGAGGATAATGGAAAAGAACATGGAAGCTGTTTAGGGTTTTAGGGTTTTGGGGTTCAGGGTTGGGGGTTTGAAGGTTCAATGACTTTGGGTTGAGGTGTTAGGGTTTAAGGTGTAGGGGTTGGGATGGAAAGGTGTTGGCCTAGTCTTTAGTTTTTGAGGTTTCTGGGTTCGGGTTCTACGGTTTTAAGGCTTAGGGTTTTGAGATGGATAGTGTAGGGGCTTGAATAGAAGGGTTTACCGTTTAGGTTTCAGGATTCTAAGGCTCAAGGTTTGGGTTTAGGGCTTGGTGGTCGTATATGGGTTATGCAGGGTTCACCTTGTACCACACTGGCAACTTAAGATCTTTAACAACGACTCAGGATTTCAAAGCTCCCTGGATCAACCTGGCGTTCGCTTTCCTGCGTCTGGGCCAGTGGAACAACGCTATTCGGGCCGCTTGCATGATTCACAGCGTCCTGATCTTTATCTAAAGCAGGAATTCCCAATTATAGGAATCCCCCTTCCCCTCGAATACTCGCCTTATCTACCAACACTATTCCCTCCTGATCCTTGTATTCTGTACAGTGCACTGTACCCCCTCCCAAAATCTTGTTCTAATCAAAAGGCCCCAACTGTGAGCTTTTTTTGGAGAAGCCCGCTGCCAGTCGGACTTGCTTTGTTTCTTGTTGGAGGGTGTCCTTGGTTACTTGGAGAGTCGAGGACACTTAAAAAACAAGAATACTGCAAGCCATACCCAGAACCAGCCTCAGTTGTGCCCAGCACTGACCTACTTACTTCTCCCCAATCCCTGACCCTAAACCCTAAACCCTAAACTAAAAAAAAACTTGAACCGGAAATCTGACGCCCTATACCATGAATCCTTACGGGGTATTGCCAGGCATGTGACGCCTGCCTTTACCGCCACCCAAACACGGCCCATTGCTTCTACAACAAAGGCGTGATTGGCATCACTGGGTGTCCTTTCGGGATAACTGATAACTCATACCCTAAACCCTAAACCCTATACTTCTCTTACGCTTTTGTAAGGGGACGTGTTCATGACATTAGATTGTAGCATGCTGAGGCTGGTGCTTCCCAGAAATTAGGGGCCGCCTTTTCTACCTCCATATACTATGATGAGGGTTTAGGGCTTAGGGTTTTTTTGACCCCAAGCAATGGACCCCGAATTTTCGGAAGTCCCCATCTACTTGTTTGCTATATAATCCGCATCTAAGACGCCTTGCATGGTCGCTTCCTGTTGTGCCGTGCGGATGTCACATAGGATGCCCCCTCTGGAATCCTGAGTGGTGCCCACGTACATCAGAAGGGCCCCTGAAAGAGCCGCTATTTCAAGACGCCAAAGATGAATTATGCAAAGAAGGGCCATATCTAAGAGCAAATTGCTTAGGCTGAGACTACGAAGTGCAAAAGAAAACCCCATAACCTGGTTATATTCCGCATGCACGCCTGGGGTCATGAGGGTAGCCTGTCTTGACCACATACCGTACACATGCAAACCCTGAACCCCAAACCCTAACTCCGGGAGCCCTAAACCCTAAACCGCCTAAGCCCCCAAACCCCAGAAGCATTAAGAGGACCCCCTACCCTGCAATAGTGGTTTACTAGGAATATAACAGAGGACCCCAATAGAATCCTGATTATCCCTTGTAGTCACTATTACTGGGGAGGGGTCCTAAGCACTAAACCCTAAACCCACCTAACATAAGCGTCCCTGTTTGAAGGGCTTGCGTACTTCTTCCAAGCGCTGGAGCTTGAGGTGCTAAGGGGCGTAACGTACTGGTGCCTAAGGGGAGTGGGGGGTTTAGGGTTTTGAGTTTAGGGAAGATGGGCTATAGTGGTATACATGGGGATTACATGTGGAATGTTTTTGGGATCCACTCCCCCCCCCTTGGGTCTGAATGCCCTTCTTCATGGGGAAGTTGCCTAGAAGGTTCATGTTGGAGTCCTCACAGGTTCCATCGGATTTGCGTTTGGGGTTTCTCCTCCACATGGACGTTTGCAGGACACAAGGGGATGGATTTCTGTAATAGTCCCCAATCCCAGATCGTGATCCCCATGATCCAGGGGTTTAGGGTTTAGGTCCGAATCCCACTTCCTACAGTATTGTCCATTTTGTCTTCCATTCCATCGGCTCGGCTTGGATTCGCAACCATTTCGTAGGGTTCTTGGCTGCAGGTCAGGATTTACCATTGATACTACCGACATTTACCATTGATACTACCGACCCTACATGACCTTAGTATACTACTTACACTTTCAATTCCTAATGTGCGAGGCGATTCGGGTCGTCCATGATTGCTTACTGTCAGCATCTAGCGTAGTATCTGGAGATTGGTGAAGATCCAAACCCTAAACCCTAAACCCCATAGCCCTTAGTATCAACCATAATATCTGTAGTTGTGTGAAGAGCTTTTGCTTCATATGCAGCTAGCAAAATCCACGATCTGCAGCCAATCCTGATCAAATTAGACGCAGGGTTTGACTTCCGCCGGGGACTGGCAACATCTAGGGGTTTCCCAAAATTAGGGGCACGTTTTTGGAGGTCCGCATAATAAGGATCATAGTATATTGGGGTCTATATTGGGGTCCCCCTATTTTGGGAAACCAACATCTTGCTTGCGTTGCACATCCCAGCTGTGCACGTTTGCATGTTGGCATCTCGACTTGTTTCCTTTGTGGTGCTAGCAAACTCCAGTTCCACATGAGCCATCGTCTAAACTCCTAGTATCCCCCTTACTAACCCCTATAGTAGTCCCCTATGTAATCCCCTATATAACCTCCTCTAAGGAGTTTAGACTATAGCTCATAAACCCTAAACCCTAAACCCACCCCTAAGACCGCAACCACCCGACACCCTGAAGCAAAATCCGAAGAATGCATCTTGAGCCTGAAGCCTCTAAAGACGTCGAAGCCGAAAACCCAGAATCCTAAACCCTGAATTATAGTATAGTATAGTCTATTATAGAAGATTCTAATAGATTATAGTAGATTATGGTAGATTATAATACGTAGATTATAGTAGATTATAATAGATCATAGTAGATTGTAGTAGATCATAAACCCTGAACCTCTCTACCATATACATTTAAACCCTAATGGTATTTTACGCCAAATGGTCAATCCAT